CATAAAAAATGAAGTCGGAAGCACATCCATAAGGAGATTGCCTTGGAAGAAACTCTTTGCACAAGCCTGCTAGAACATATGGAAAGCAAGATGCAAAAAGGTCTACTCTGAGGAAAATAATTTGGATAATGATATAGCTTTCATAGGTACACAACAAATCACCAATGACATAAAGCAGCAATCTAAATTGAATCTTCTGAGCAATCATGACTCTCGTGATACAACTAAGTGGATCTCACCAAAGTCGGGATGGGTTAGATTAGATGTCGATGGCTCTGTCAACCTCAACAAAATTGCAGCTTGTGGTGGACTTATTAGAGATGATAAAGGCAACTGGATTAAGGGTTTTTCTAAAAGTATTGGCTATCAACCTAGAACTATTGCAGAGCTAATAGGAATCTTGAAAGGTCTCAAACTTTGCTAGAATACCCAGATCCCTAAAGTCAATGTTTACTCTGATTTTATGGAGGCCTTATCTCTCATTGACCAGAGCAATACTCATAATCACCCCTATTTAGTCATTATCAGAAACATAAGAGATATTACCATGTGCAATTGGGAGATAACTTTTGAGCACGTTTTCAAAGAAGCTAATAAATGCACTGATCTTATGGCACACAAGGTGTCACTGGAGAATTTCGACATTTGTCTTTTTGATATTCCGCCTTCTGATTGTATAAGCCTTATGGCTTCTGACATTACATGATTTTGGTCTTTGTATGGTTTTACCGTGGTCTTATATTAAAAAAAAATAGATCTTTAAAAAAGATATTTTGTGGGCAAATAAAGGCTATAAACGTGTAGGCATAAAAAAACAAAGAAAATGATTCCAAGAAAGAGCAAAACAAACATTAGACAACAGATATATGGCTCCTCAAAGGTTTGGGTTTAATGGACCCAACCCCATTACTTTGAGTGCATGGGAGTGACATAGTTGGGGGCCAAGGATGATTGAAATGGTGCATTTATGTGCTTATAATATTTTTTTTAGGTTTTGGGCTTGATGAGTTTTTGGACTTAAATATGAGGATTAAATGACAATTTGAACTTTAAAATATAGGCTCATGAGAGATTTAAACTCTAAATTTATTTTTGATACATTATGACCCTTAAACAGTTACACCCCTTACTTTTAGGAGAGAATAAATGTCTATTACTTTTAAATGGTTGGCCCTTGATGTGTAGTTCCACTTGTCTCAAATTCATCTCTCTTGTTCTCTCTCCAACCCTCCTTTCTCACTCCTTCATTGTTGAGGATTATAAAGCCAGTATTTTAAGTGAGTTAGGTTTGTTTAGAATGAGCTTATTTCGATTAGGAATAAAATACCTAAGCCTAGCTTTAACCCTTTAGTTTTCGGGCTGGCTCAAATACTTAAATTGTTAAATATTATTTTATTTTATTTTAATTTTTATCTAATTTCAATTTTCATTTTAAAAAATAATATTTTCAATTTTTATCTTATTTTATTAATAATAAAAAAGGAATTCAAGCTAAACTCATTTGAGGTTTGGTCTTGGCCTAAATTTCTTTAGGCTTATTCGAGCCTCAAATAAGCCTGGAATAATTTTTTTTTTTTAACTCCAAAGCTTGATCTTAAGATTTTTCAAGCTTATTCAAGTTGGTTTATTAGCTTTAGCTCAAATAATTGTAAATTTTTCAAGCTTTTTCAAGTTCTATCGATAAACATGAAATGGAAGCATTGAATCATACTCCTTAATTACGAGAAAAAATATGCGAACACAATGGTTGTGGCATAGTCAACGCTTAATAACTCTATCTCCAATCTCTTCCTCAGCCTCCAATATTATATCATAACTTTCTACCTTCCTCATATCTTTCCCTTGCTTTGTTCTTCCTTGTAGCTTAGAAGAAATCTTAAAAAACATTTCAATATTTTAACCCATTTTTGCGAGTTCCAGTCAAAACACATGTGATCTGAGTGAAATGCCTAATTAAGGTTAAATTTGTGTGTTAAACTCGTTTTTGCAAGTTCTGGTTTGCATGATCATGTGAATTAGAGTTCCAGAATAACCTTAACTTATGTCATGCTCAAACATGTGAAAATCATAATTATGCACATGAGTTTTAGATCTATAGAATGAAAGTTGGTTCTGTCTAACTACAACACAAGAATTTCATAGGTAAAACATGCGAGAAGTAGAGTGACAATAAAGACCATGGTTTTGAATTTTTCATACATGTGAGTTCTAGTTGTTTTGCTCACAAGAATGAGTATATCTGTTATAACGTGAGTCTAAGCCATCTGAAACTAGTCTTGTGCATGTGAGAATTAATCTAATCATCTGTAAAACTCAAGTCTGCCTTTCGAAAGCCTTGAACACCTGAAGCAACTTGAATTATTCTAAGTTTTGTGTTTAAAAACTTGTTTGACCTACTTTGGCAAGAATTAGATTTTGCCCATACAGAAAACAAAGTATTTACAGAGGTTATTCTCCTCTACCTTTTATTTTTGCGAGTTTTAGATTAGATCCACATGTGACTTAGAGTTCCAATGAAGCTTGTGCTTCTTCCTGTCTAGAACACGAGAGAACTAGTACGTTTGCATGCATGCAGTAGACCATGTTTCAATCAAGCTTTTCTACAAGTCTCATGCATGCCAAAATGAACTCATCCATGTGAAAATAAAAGTTCTGACACGCATTTAATGAGGTTGATCAATAAAATGTTTGTTCATAATGTCTACTTTCATACATGCAATGCAACAGTACTAAATAGCTAGTTGAGGTTTCTAACAGTTAGAATCATCCAACATTATAAATAGAATATCATTTAAGAGAGTAGGTAATAAATTCAATGCTGCATTTATTGATTTTTACCTAGTGCATTCATTGTTTTTGAAAAAGCTTTCTATTTTGATTTATAAGCTTTCAACTATATGCTATCTTTTTTTGGAGAGTTTTAAGCTGTTGTTAGCTCAATCTTTTATTGAGAAATATTAAGAAAAGGTCTTCCTTAAGTGTTTTACATTCCTACAAAGGTTTGTAAGTGATCGAATGAGTTCAAGGCTAGTAAGTCTTGGTTATTGTACTGAGGTTACAAGTAATCTTGTCTAAACTTATAGATTTAGTAGAAACTTTCAAGTGTGAACTTAAGGATTTGATATAAACTAAGTGGCTGGTTGTGATGAATCGATATAAATTATATGTCAAGGTTTTCCCTTCTCAAACTTCATTTATTAAACTCTCCTCATCTACTTTATTTTGATAAAAAAAAAGTTATTGTTTTATTGGAAAAATGTTTTGAAAAATTAAAGAACACCTAATTCACCCCTCTTAAGTATTAGCTTATCTAACGTGTTTTTCAATTTCTATGAAAGCATTTTTTCCACTACTTAGGGGTTAGCCTTATTTAATACTTTTTAAATTTTACAATTGAACTTCTAGAATCTACAATTAATTACTGGAAATTAATAATTTTTTACAATTATAACCTATTAGTATTTACAATTAATCTTTTGACTTTTCTTTTTATATTGAAGCTCTCAAGATTTATAACTAAGCTACATAGGGCAATTTTTTTAAAATATTTTTTAATTAAAAATCACTTTTTTTTAAAAAATAATTTTCATAAAAATTTATGATGTTTATTTAAAATTTTGAATGCTAAAAAAAGGCAAATTATGATTATCATGAGAAACTACTTTAATTAGCTATTGAAAATAATATGATAAAATAAATAAGAGAGAAGGCCATAAAATTGTGGAGATATCATAAATTTTTAAAATAATTAAATAATAAATTAATTTTTTTAAAAACAGATTTATCATAAAATCTAAAATAATTAACTAATAATAAATTTTTATAATTGTAATCAAACAATAAATAATTTCAACTTTTTTTTATTAAATCTCTATAAAATAAATATCTATAAAATATTTAAATTATGTAAAAATGACTTTTTGTTTTGGGAGAATGATAGATAGATCCCAAAGAGATCAATTAATTCAAAGGAAGCCTCAAAGTATCAAATTTCAGGAATTTATAAGTTCAGCTCTTAATTTTACAAAATCATTGTGATGAATTTACAATTTGTGTTTTAAATTTTAATAGAAAAAATAAATTCATTTATTCTTCAATTATGTTAAAATTTTAAAAATAAATTTTAAATTTATTACAACAAAATTATAAAATTAAGAGTCAAACTTATAAATTTCTAAAGTTTAGCACTTTAAAATTTATTTTGAATTAATTAATTCCCTTAAAACCAACTTATCATTCTCCTTTTTTTTTTTTTTAAAAAAAAAGCCAAACGGATGAGCTCATATCCAATTGCACAACAAACAAGGGCATTTCTATGGCCATTCTATGCCCCACACACTCGTGGTCCCTCTACATCATTTTCTTCTCGATTGGTTCCTTCAACATCATTTCTCCGTTTCATTCTCCCCAGTTAGGTCTTTTGGGGGGGGGGGGGGTGGGGGGGAGTCTTCCCATTTTAGATTTTCTTGTTTGTTTTCTTTTAAGAAAGCATAAGGGATATACTACGCAAACAATTATCTCTCTTGAAATATTAAGAGCAAACAATAAACATCTATCAACTAAATTATTACTTGAGATTCAAAAACTCAACCATTTAAGTGATGTGAACATTTACTACTCATATAAACTTTTATTTTTGGATTGTTTATAAATATTTTTTAATTGGAGACAATTCTAATTGAGATACGATCAAACATTAAATATGAACATCTCATTTAATGATGATACTCATATAAACCTTATCAGTTAATTTTCTTGTTTATATATAGTCAAGTAATATGCTAATAAGTAGTGATGCAAGGGAAACTCATTGGGTTTTCATAACACGAGATTGGAGTTTATAAAAAAAAAATAATAATATGAGATTGGACAATTCCAGTGTATTAAAAGTGGAACTTCCCTTTTTTTTTTTTTAAGTGAAACTAAACTCTATCAGGGTTAGGTTCAGTATTATAGTGATACTGAGAAGGTTCAGGCCCAAAAGTTGAACCAAAGTGGGCTGAAACTCCTCTCCCTTGGTTGGCATTGAAAACCCTAGCTGCGCAGCCTCTGTCTCGTCTTTTGCAGGCGAAGCTCAGGCGGAGAGGCAGAAGCTAAAGTAGTGACCTCAAGGAGCGTTCTTCATCTCAGGCCATCAACATGGGGCGCATGCACAGTCGCGGGTCTGTTTCTCTCTCTACCTTTCGACTTTTACTAAATTTTGATTGTGAATAAGCACTGATCTTCCTTTGTTTCGTTGAATGTGTTTTCAGTAAGGGTATTTCCGCTTCGGCTCTTCCCTATAAGAGAACCCCACCTAGCTGGTTGAAGATCTCTGCTCAGGATGTGAGTATCTGAATCGTATTGCTAATATTAGTATTATGAAGTCTTGGAATATAATGGTCGTATAGTTGTATTTAGAACTGCATTTGGTTTTGCATAATTGTGTTTGCAACTAGTCTCTGTTTTGAAGTTTTCAATTTTCTGTACTGTTTTAGGTTGCGCTTTTATTTTTCACTTGTTTGATAAGCATGGCATTCCATCTGGGGAAGGGGTCTCATTGGTTGGTTTTAGGGAGTCTTTCTTATTGTTTTCAATGTAAAACTTTGATGTGTTTCATCACTGTTAGTTCTATGTCGGGTGTTGAAAACTTGAAATTCCTGAATTTCTTGCCATCTGCATTATGCTCGAAGCATTTTCTTCTGGTGTTCACATTAATATTCTAGTTTCCATATTTTTTTAATTACTATTAAAAAGAATTTCAAATACTTTTTATTTATCACCCTTGTAAGCCTATACCGTCTCGATAAATTGTTTCTCTACCTCAAATTTGAAAGCAGAGAACATTAAGGAAGGGATGTCTGCCCCTTCTGGCATATGTAAATTGCATATAGGTAGCTTGGTTGATTTCATCTCAGGGATTTGTTGGTCTAAGTTGATGTGAATGAAAATAAACTAATGATCTTGATGCTTATATCTAATCCTTTTAAATCTTGTTCCAGGTTGAGGAGAACATTTGCAAGTTTGCCAAGAAGGGTCTAACGCCATCTCAAATTGGTGTTATTCTTCGGGACTCTCACGGTATTGCTCAGGTGAAAAGTGTGACTGGGAACAAGATTTTGCGGATACTGAAGGCCCATGGTATGTTTTTCTTTTTGTTAGGTGTCTATGTTGCTTGTTATAGGACAAAACTATAACAATATTTTGACCCACTTTGTTTTTGTTAGGTCTTGCTCCTGAAATACCAGAAGACCTGTACCACCTGATTAAGAAAGCTGTTTCAATTAGAAAGCATTTAGAGAGGAACAGAAAGGATAAAGATTCTAAATTTAGGTTGATCTTGGTTGAGAGCAGGATCCATCGCCTTGCTCGTTACTACAAGAAGACAAAGAAGCTTCCTCCTGTCTGGAAATAGTAAGTATTGGGTTTATTTAACATATTAAATCAATACATCTTATTTCTTTTTAATGGTTTATTGAAGGGACATGCATTGGTTTGAATTCCGAAGTGCAAAGAGCAAAATCTTATAATTTCCCATCATTGGTGGGCTTGATTTTAGTCATGGATAGTTTTAGGCCGTTAGGCTGCATTTTTGACATGGTTCGTTTCTTGATGATCCCTGGATCTTTACTGATCTTTATCATCTGTATCTGAAATATTTGTCATACTTATTGTTGTACAATAATATAATACAACAACACATCAATGTATGCTGCCCATGCTGGTTCAGGCGTTGTGTAAATGAAGCTGCTGGTTAAGGAGCTGAACTGATAAACTACAATTTGATTAGTGATCACTGCAAGATTTTCTGCTTCAACTTCATTTTAATTTTCATGATCACTTAATTTAATTGATTCTAAATTATTTTGAATTTAAAAAAAATATGGTGCGGTCTCACCATCTTTCTGTTTTGAAGCATGCCTTTGGTTACATAAAAATTTGGCTCACGCGACTTTCCTTGTTCTTCTAGTATAGATTGTTGGCTCCTTTGTTGAGAATTTCTGATCGAACAATTCATGTTGTTGAATCAGGATATATCATGTGCTTATGGAAACATCTTCCTGCACTCATTTTAATCAAGATTATTTTTTAAATTTTGTACTTTGTAAATTGATATACCACTCTTTAGGAAATCCCCCCGGCTCATCAGCACAAACGTTTTCAGCATGTGATTCAATGTTGCACATGTAGTCATTTTTACTGAAAACAGTGTTCATGTAAAATGTAACTGTTCTGTGTAATTAGGGTTTAGATTTGGTGAGTAGTTTAAGTTTACTTATTCAATGAGTGTCTCACGTGGTAATAATTGTTTGATTTATTCTAACGGATGTTAGAGATTCTGTCATATAATAATACTCAAGGAGTACCGAATCTTAACTTTTTGGAGGGATAATGCATGTGAGGAGTGTCTTGATTGTGAGGATTGTTTTGAATTTTTTGAGAAATGTATCTTAATAATTTTCAATTATTGATGAAATATAATGGTTATAATTTAAACACTTATTGAGTAAATGGATTTAGGCCACTCACCAAATTTAAATCCAAATTTGTGTAATTAACTATTCCTATGGCATATTCACCCTGTTTTGGGGTTCTTACTCAGTTCTGTTTCTGTTTTTTTGGCAGTGAATCTACAACTGCTAGCACTCTTGTTGCTTAGAGGGGGAGGTTTATGATGATGACTAAATGGTCTATTACATGCCATGTTTTGTGGTGAAGATGTCTGGTCTTAGTTCAGGTTTTGTCTTCAGTGTACTTTTTTCACCAGTAAAATTAAGTTCTTGTTACTCTCATGTTATCATCAAATTTTGATGCTCAACGAAGATTTGTGATGAAAGCTTTGGATGATGGGTTAATTTTGACGATCAATTAGTGACTGCTTCTGTCCGCGCACTTTTCATTTTCATTTTTATTTTTGGGTCTCAGTCCATGCATTTTTTATTATAAAGGCCACAAGAATGAGATAGTACAAAGTAAAGTTGGGAATATGATTGAGGATATGTGGGTTGACTTAAATAGTTGCTCATAAGGATTGGGTTGGGTTGGAAAAAAAATTAATCCAAATAACAATGGTTTGTTTTTGGCCTGCACTATATAGCCTGTGAACAATATGGGTTAATTCTGATGGGTTAGAGTTGGCTTATTTAAGTCATCTTATTTTTTTAAAAAAATAAAAAAGGAAAAGGGGGAAAATTTTGTGGGTATAAATCATATTAGATATGACTTTAGTTGAATCAATTTATATATTTTATATGAACATTATAAATTAATATTTTGACATATCTGGGATGAATAATATCAAAGTTGAACTTATTACTTAGATGTATTTTTTTAAAAAATTTATCAAAAAAAGGAATTGAAAAAAAAAAAAATGATTGGTGGGCTAGCTTATTTAATCGGTTAACCTTCAAGAGCTGGGTTAGTAATCTAATTCAATCTACATTTTCCCTAACCTATATGAGCTACCTCATGGCTGGCATATGTTCTCAACTCTAGTAAAAAGTATATATTTAATCATTGGTCCAAAAAAAAAAAAAAATATATATATATATATATATCTAGTCTAACCTAATTCAAACAAAGTGTATATTTTTTTCATATTAAGACAGAGATCTTGGCTAAAAAGGAAAAAAAAAGGACAGATCGAGGAACATAATATGCAAGAAAACGACACTAGGCTAAAGCATTACAAAACAAACCACTAGAGAGAAAAACTAAGTGCAGAATAAAAGAAATTCTCCTGATTACTTGGAATTGATGTTGAATCTGATGGAGCAAATGATTAGTGTGTAAGATCACAGTGTTGAAAGTGCTATTAATTTGCATAGCAATATAAGGAAAAACGTTGATTACAGAAGGATTTAATCCACCAAAGAGGTATATAACTGCTTGCCCAATGCCTTTGGTAAGTACTTGAATGTTCACATTTTAGTAATAGACCAAACCACGTATTTATCTTTTTATATCATGTTAAGACTATACTTCTGGGATGTCCCGAGCGAATAAGCCTTAATCTTCAATCCTTTCATTAACTAATGAAAAACCATGACGTAAAATCCTAATTCTATACGCAAAATTCTCAAGCCACTCCTTATTAAGGATCAACAGAGATTAATTAACTTTAAAACATGTTTTGAACATGTGGGATGTTAAAAGCATCAATATAAAACTACCCAAATGCTCGAGTTTTTTTGAACCACCATAAAAAATTACTACACATGATCTTTGGATACTTCTCGAATAAAACTGAAATTCCATTAATGATAAAAACAAAATGATACAAGAGACCTAAAAAACAACACTAAGGTCCTGTTTGCTTGTTGGAATGAAATGTAATATACTAAAAAAATAGAGATAAAAATATAATATTAAGATGTGAATAAAAGATAAGTCAATTATGTTTAAGAAGATAGATGAGTAATTTAATTCATGCAGATGTGAGTCATGATTCTTGAAATTTATGATGGGTGGAGTGATTAACACATTTGAGCTATAAGGTATTGATTTTCTTTATTTTAACATGAGAGATTCAATAATTTAGTTTAATTTTGTTCTTAATTTTTTAATTCATTTTATTTTATTCATTTACAACAAGCAAAAGTGACCTAACACCTATACTCTCTCATCATCTTCTATGGATGATGATTAAAGAGACAAGTTTGTCTCCTTGGAATGAGAAAACCTAGCTAAATAATCATATTTCATTACTTTATTTCCTGTCAACATGATTAAGAATAATTTGGCCCTCCCAATGAAATATCTAGCTTCAAAATTATGAGCTCTAGGGATACGGTTTCTCAAATCAACATCAAATCCAACAATGAAACGCGTGATCTCATGGTTTTTTTTTTTTTTGGGTCAATATCTCATGCAATGTTATGTGAGATAAACTCTGTCATGTTTTCGTTCTGTATTATTTTAAGTATTTTTTAATATTTTTTTTTCAAGTTCTCTCTCTTTTCCAATTTATGAGAATTTCTTGAGAGAATATTATTATTTCTTGTAGGGTCTTGTATTGAATTTCAAACTACAAAGAAAAGTTAGTACTCTCTTTTTTTCCCCTTGTTTTTTAATCGCTTTTAAAGAAACATTTTGTTGTTATTTATCCTATCATTTTTGCATTTTAAGGCAACATTAATTACTATTTTTCCAATTATATACTTATATTTGACTAGTCATAATTCTCAACTAAAAAAATTTCATTTAATAAGGACATATAAAAAAGATAAAAAAATTAATGTGCTAACTACATTTCTTTTTTGATAAAATGCCAATTATATTTCTTAATTAATATTTGAAGATTTTAAAAACATACTTGCAAAAAAAAAAAAAAGAAAGAAAGCGAGTGATTAAGCACTTGTAAAACTTCAGAACTTGAATATATTTACATTTATTTTATTAGCTATGTGTTTTTCTATTGAAAGCAACTTTATTGAAAGTATTGTGGCTTAAAATATAAGCATCTCACTCACTCTACTTACCAAAAAGAAAAAAAAAAAAACTGTCAAAAAAAGGGCAACACCCATTGACCCAATCAACTCATGGACTCTCCAATCAAATTTGCCCAATCTCCATCAGTTGAATTTCTGTGACTATATTTTATCTTTGGATTTGTATATTTTACTTTAGGAACATGTTAATATCAATTGATTATGAAGGCTAACAATTTAAAAATAACGAGTTATTAATATTCGAAAATCATGTGATGTCAGTAGAGTCAAGGTCTTCCACGTAAAATAAGATGTCAATGTGTTTTTCCCCCTCTAAGGATAACATTGACTACTTAGAAGATTCCACTTTTCTATATGTAATAACCGGCTTAAAATACTCATTTTTCCCCACGTCACTTTTATATCATATCCCATCCAACACTCTTGTATTTAGTTCTATGCCAGGCTAAGATAATTCGGTCAAAAAAATTGAAATTTCTTTCTCGACCATAACGATCCTCATTATCTTCGTATTTTTGCATGATTATTGGGAAAATCATTGTGACTCATTTTGTTGTTCCCCAAGACTCTTCATCGAATGTGAAAATTTCACCACTAATATTTTACTTTTCTATTTACTTGATGCAAAGAAAAGATGTTCAAAATCATTGTGGAAACAAAGTTAAAAGGAAATCACATAATTTCTAAATTGAGGACAAGAAAGAAGGAAGTTCCATCTCTAATCACCATAGCAGTAATTTGCAGCTTGGATAGGGGAAGTGTTGAAATTGATAGATTTGAATTTAAACTTTATATTTAAAATCCCACATTTAATTTTTCTTTGGATAGTGTAAAATTTTTTAAAGGTAATAAAAAGGAGAGAGGGGCTAAGATTAGTAGATATGAAAGATTAGAAGTGATGGATTTACTTATATTTTTCAATTGGTAAGAAACGAGGACAAGACAAGAGAGGAGTGGCAAGAATAATAAATGCATTAATAAAAAAAATACAAAAAAAAAAGAATGTTGAAGTAGTTGGAATTTTAAATAATTAGGATCTAGATAGAATTTCAAATTATAAAAAATTATCATAAAACATGGATAATCCAAAAATTTTTATGTATCCAAATAGAGGATTTGGTTCACATCCAAATCCAAATTCTCATGCATCCAAATGCATCTTTAAAACTTCTCCTTGATCTTATATAAGTGAAATTATGTCTTGACTCATCAAGTGATGAATTGAAATATCATTGAAAGGAAGTGTGAAAAGTGGCCTAGAAAGTGAAAGTTTCTGAGCCACTTGCTTCATTGATGGCCTACAATCTGGTTCACCACAAATACATGCTAATGCAATGCTCATCACAAGAATTACATCCCAAATATCTTTTCTGGTGCGAGGTTCAGGGATTCGCGCGTCTAAGATATCTCTTAGCATTATCTTCTGAGTTGACTCCTTCTCCAAACATGAAATTAGTTCTCCAGGATGTTTGCCCATCATAGTTTCTAAGACAACTACTCCAAAACTATAAACATCACACTTCTCGGTCATGGTTAATTTGTAAGCTAATTCTGTAATAAAAAAACAAAATTTTCAAGAAATGATTTAAACCAATTATATTTTTTGAGTTAAAAAGGAAATTTTGCCCTTATACTATAACTTTAAGAGCATTTGAAATCTTTAACTTATTTTTTTATATAATGTTCTCTCTCAATTTTTAAAAGCGGTGCAATATTGTCTTTACTGTTAATAAAAGTTAACTTTATCCATTAGTCGATAAAGAATTACAAGGAGACCTTAAAAATTACATAAAAGGACCAAAACTTATAAACAAGGACACAAAAAATTATAGAAAACGACTAAGAAATTGTTTTGGCCATTTTCTATAATTTTTGAAGCACTTTTTTTGTAATTTTTTGGTTTACTAATTATCAAAGTTAAAATTTGTTAATGATAGAAGCAATATTGCATTGATTTCAAAATTAAAGTTGAAGGAACATTGCATAAAAAATGAGCTTAGGGTCTTAATGCTCATGGATTTATTTTTATATACTCAATATATTGTGTAAAAGTCTATGTTTGATACAAAACTCTTGAAAACAATCATACATGAATTTTGTATATAACTTTTAAAAAAGATTGGTAGATGAAATAATTACCTGGAGCAATATATCCATAAGTACCAAGTTGTAGACTTTGATTTGATGCATCAGGATCGAGGAATCTAGCAGTGCCAAAGTCCGAGACAAATGCTTCCATTCTTGAGTTCAACAAAATATTATTACTTGTTATGTCTCGATGAAGAATTGGTGCTACACAATCATGATGCATATACTTGATAGCATGACATATCTCATTAACGATATTGAATCTCTTGTTCCAATTCAACATTTGAGCCTCGTCATCATCACTTAAGACACATAACAAGCTACCACTCTCCATGAATGCATAAACCAAAAACATGAACTGATTATGCAAACAAAAGCCATGAAGCTTCACGATATTTCGATGACGAATAGCTGTTAGAATCTTGATTTCATTGCAAAAGCTCTTGACAAAAGATTGATTTTCCGATTCCCTTTTGTGAAGTTTTTTCACTGCTACAATTTTGCCACAAGGAAGTCGTGCCTTATAAACACTTCCATAAGCACCTGTTCCAATACAACACTTCATATCAAAATCTTCTGTCGCTTCAATGATATCTTCAAAGGCGATTTTACCATCATAGTTCCATATTGAGAAGAAATCTCCATTCTTCTTGACCTGCGTTTCCTCATATTTGATTCTGTGAACCATAAGTTTTCTCAGTTTCCTTCTAAATAATTTGATTATGACCAGAATTGTAATCGCAAGAACACATGTAATGAAAAATCCACTTGCGAAGGAAATAATAGCCATGGACACCTTTTCATCATCTAGATGTGGATCAAAAGCTGTAGAGATTGGGAAGAGACAAGCATAAGTGGCACCAAAGAGAACCACAAAATATTTGAAATTGAAGTTATAGATAGGCATGTGGGTGATATTTTAGTAATTATTTGATTTTGTGTTCAACAAAACTTGAAGGATAGTTAATGGAGATCGAGGTTTCTTCTTGAAGATATTGGCGGACAATTTTAATGGTTTGGAAAACAATCAGCCAGGTCAATTCTGGTAGTTGAAATTCTTGTAACCGCGTAGCATCTTTTTGGTATATATTCCACGCGGCTTCTAATTAAATACTATTTTTCTCGTCCAAAGGAAAAACATTCACTGTCGTTTGATGAAATTACTTTTGAAGAATTGAACAGGGTTGAATTGGTGAATAGCATGAAGCTAAGCTTTTATACTCTTTCATGTTTGTGATATATGTAATATTTACCACATTTCTGAAATTATTATTCAATATTAATGATAATTTTCTAGTAACTTCTCTTTTACTGAAAAAGTGAGATATTTTTATTTTCAAATTATCTTATCAAGAGAATAGGAAGTTATTAAGATTATTACACAAGGAATTGGAAGTTGTGAGTAATGGACTCGCTGCTGTACTGGCCCATAGCTATGATAATGCACCCTGTAAAGTTATTTCGATGAAGCATGAAGAGCACAAATGGAAAAACACATATAACATTATATATCCATAAATAAAACTACAATATCCCAAGAACAAAAATTGAGCTACTGTAACAACCGACATTTATTTAAAATGAATTAAAAGGCCACCATTAGAAACCCAAAAGGACCAATTAGTTAAAGGTTAAAAGTTGTGATAAATTTACAACTTGTATTCCATATTGTAACAGAGAAAATATATTTTTTTATCTTTCAATCATGTTTAAAATTTGAAGTATGAGTTATAAATACATTCCAATGAAATTATAAAATTGAGAGTTTGAGTTGTAAATTTCTGAAATTTAACACTTGGAACTTAACTTGAATTAATTAATCCTTTTTAGACCTCTTTGTCATTTTTCTTTTTCTTTTTTTGAACCAAGGACATCATTTTTACCATTGATTATATTTCATCCTTGGATTTGTATATTTTTATACTTTAGGAAAGTTGTATTATCTTAAGGAACTGGTTCAAGAGTTAATAATAAAAAACTTTAGTCAAATTGTGATCAAACAGATTATAAATAAAATATTTTATTAAATTAGTCAAAATACTTATTTTATGGTTTATCAGTTAAACTGGGTTTTTGTCAAAAATTATATGATGTTAGAAGAGTCAAGGTCATTGTGTCCTTTCCATTGAGAATAAGGGCATATTTGATTTCTGTTTTAAAAATAGTTTTTTATTTTTTAAAAAATAAAAAAACTCGTTTGGAGGAGTGTTTTAAATCTAATTGTTTTCAAAACTGTTTTAATTTTTTATTTAAAAAAAGAAATATTTTAAAGCTATTTTCATTTTATTTTTGTTGTTTTCAAAATACTATTGATGAAAACAATAATTATTTTGATTAATAATTATCATAAGTCACCAGTATTTACCACCAGTGACTATTAATTGATTTTTTTGTTTTAAAATTATTTTTAAAATAAATAACCAAAACCATTTTTTAAAAAAAAATTTAAAAATTATATTATAAAATAGCTTTTAAAAATAAAAAATGAGAATAGAAATCAAATCCCTAAGATTCCAATGTGTGCTTTTCCTATAAGGATAACATTGGCTGACTTAGAAGACTCCACTTTTCTATATGTAATCACTGACTTTATGCTCCTACTGACTTTAAACGCTCATTTTCTACACGTCACTTCTATTTTAAATACCATGAACCCATCCAACACGCTTGCATTTAGTTCTATGCCGGGCCAAGACAAGTTCGTTCAAAACATATGAAATTTCTTTCACAACCATAATTAACAATCTTCATTATTTTCATATTTTGGCATGGATGGGAAAATCATTATGACTCATTTTGTCGTGGCCCATGACTCTTCATCGAATGATAATTTCTCCACCAATATTTTATTTTCCTGTTTACTTGATGTAAAGTAAAGATGTTCATAATCAAAGTGGAAACAAAGTTAAAAGGAAAGCACATAATTTCTAAATTGAGGACAAGAATGAAGGAAATTCCATCTCTATCACCATAGTAGTAATTTTGCAGAATCTGCTATTTCAAACAAAGTTACATGCATTTGGATGGCGTTGGAATTGACTGATTTTAAATTAAAATTCATGCATTTAAAATAAAAAGTGTGAAAAATTTTAAAAGCAATAGAGAATGGGATGAGATTTGCAGCAAAAACAAATGATTAAAAATGATGAATTTACTTCTATCCTTCAATTGAGAAGAGACGAGAATAAGAAATGAAAGGAGTGATGAGAATAATAGAGGCATTGATAATAAAAATTTGAAAAAAATAAGAATGTTAAAATAATTAAAATTTCAAATAATTAAGATCTAAATCAAATTTAAAATTATAAAAAAATTATGATAAAACTTGAATTTGAAGTTGGGCTAAATTTAAATTTAAAGATTTTTATATATCTAAATAGATAATTTTATTTAAATTTAAATCTAAATATAAATCCATATGCATTAACATTGTCATTACGTCTTGACTCATCAGGCCGTGAATTGAAATTTGGAAGTGTGAAAAGTGGCCAAGAAAGTGATGAAAGTATTTGAGTCACTCGCTTCATTAGTAGTTGAAATCCTAACCGTGCATCATGCATCGATCTTTTTGACATTCCACGCGGTTTCTAAATACCTACTTTTCCCGTCCGAAGAAAAAACACTCAGTATCTTTTGACGAAACTACTTGTGAATAATTGAACACAGTTGAATTGGTGATAAGCATGAAGCTAAGCTTTTGTACTCTTTCATGTTTGTGATATATGTAATTACTAAATTTCTTTAATTATTATTTAATATTAATGATAATATTAATATGATACTTAGTTCTTACTTCTTAATATGTTCTAATATAATTTACTATGATTTGATTATTTTTATATATTAAAATAATAATAATAATAACAACAACAATAACTACTACAACGCCTGTTGCTCTAAGAGTTAATGAGCAAATAGGATCCTGAATTTTCACTCGAAAATTATCCTAAATCTTGAACTCTTAAAATGTGCAAAATTAACCTTAAACTTTTAAACTCGTAGTGAAATAAACCTTGACTGTTAACTTTTTTAATGCCGTTACTATTCATGTGAGTATTGTTAACTATGGGCTCGAGTTAATCCTGACGTATCATTGTGAACAAGGAAAGTTAAGTAATTAACAAGTCCTATTAAGGTGTTAACAAGTAAAGTTATACGATTGACAAGTAATGTAATAATGAAATAGTTTGGAAATAAGGTTTATTATATAAATAATTTTATGCATTATATAATTAAATGTGTTGAGTGACTTGGTGGTTTAAAATTTTTTGGTGAGCCAAGGGGTCATGGGTTTTACACACACCTTAGCCATCTTTGAAGAATTTAATTCTCCATAATTCTCCAGCCACTGCTGGTGATGGTCCAGTTGGTGGCCGGAGCTTCAGCGACGGAGGTCCAATGGCTTCCGTCACCAGCGAAACTTCGATCATCAATGGTGGCGCTCGTTGATGATGGCTAATGGTTTTTTTTAATATTTAAATTGAAGGTATTTTTATCTTTTTCACATTCAACTTACAATTTAATCCCTAAGGATTAAACTGAGGTTTTAGACTCTTTTGAGATCCACTAGAAAATATATTTCTTCTCATGTCCTTAAATGAAATTCTCCCTTAAATAAATAAATATTATTCAAAATAAGGTTAAATTAGTGTTGTAGAGTATATAGAAGTATGAGATACCAATCGTTTATAAAACATTACAAAAAAAGGGCAAAAATATCATTTCATAAAATTATAGGTCTTTTACCACGGCTAACAATGCATTCACTGCGGCGAATCATGTTGAAGTTAATTTGATCTATAGAATTGTCAAAGTTTAATACATAAATAGTGGGGGTAATTTGTTTAAAATTTTAAAGTTTAGGGTCCAGAATGCTAATAACATAATAGTTTTAGGTTTAGAATGCTTCTAACATAATAGTTTAGAATTTATAGTGTTAATTTATAATGACACATTAACATTAACTGGGGCTCATAGTGAATAGTACGGTGTTAAAAAGTTAACAGTTAGGGTTTATTTTGTTATGAATTTAAAAGTTTAGGATTTATTTTGTACATTTTAAGAGTTAAGGATTCTGGATAATTTTTGAGTAAGAATTTAGGATCCTATTTGTTTATTAACCTTAATTGAAATTATATTCAAAATTATTAGAAAAATAATAATAATAATTATATGAAATAATTGAATAATGAATTATATCACTGGAGATAGATTCGTGACGGATTTGAGGGAAAATGTCTTTCGCAAAACTTGTGATAGAAATTCCTCCACAAACTTTTGGAGCTGGCCGATCTTTGCCATCGGAAACTGCACAGCCACTATTGTCAATTTCCAGAGTACCTATCATTGGCTGAAACTCTGGCAATGACAAGTTATGGGTTAATTTTGGAAGGGTGGTCTAAGGAGGACTAGAACCCCAGGGTTCTAATCCTCCCAAGACTATCCTTTCCAAAATTATCCCACCGCATGGATTCATGGTGTGCTCTGGCCCAAGTTCCAATTATCAATGGTTGATGAATTATATTTAAAAAAATAAATTAATGTAAAATTATTTTTGTAATTGGACAAAAGACTTATTTATAAGTATGAGATTTGAGATTTGAGAATTGACAATATTTTGCGCATTTCATGAAATTTTAGGATAATTAGAATTCTTATGTGGGACTTGGCGTTAATTAATCCTACTAAAAAAAACTGTGGAGAACTACCTTGCTCCAAAGACCGAACCACTCTGTTCTAACCACTTGAATGTCTTTTACTGAACATTAATAATTATTGAATATCTTATACTTGTATTTGTATATTTTCCTTTGTCTCAAGAATGTAATAATATTCTCAGTTGACTAAAGAGCAACAATTTTTTTAAAAATAAAATTTAATATTTTTATTCATAGTTTTCATCGTATG